GAAGGGTCTAGGCCCGAAACGTCAGCCTCTCTGCTCCTATGATGCTGCTTGGCCTGCTGTGTTCATCCAGCCCTGCACCTTGTTGTCTCGGATTCTCCAGCATCTGCAGTTCCTACTATCTCAGAAGCATCAAGAACCCAGCTGTGAGAGATAGTAAGAGCTGCCGACGCTGGATTCAGAGTTAACACAGTGTGGAGCTGTGCCAGGCAGCATCAGAGGAGCAGGAAAGACGACATTTCGGGTCGGGACCCTTCTTCAAAACACACAGTCTTGAAGTTTCTGATTTAAGTGAAATTTAGTTAGTGGGAACAAAGGAAAAGAGCCAATTACTGAGCACGTAGAATAATAATCAAGCAGTTAATTAGCCAGAAGTAATGACCATCAATTGATAATTTGACTGTGAACGGTGCAATAGCTTTGCAAAATTTCTGAGTTTAGAAAGTCAATTTTTTTCAAATATTAGCCATTTCTGAAGAAAGGTCCTGACCTGTTCTGAGGAAGGGTCACCGGACCCGAGACGTTAACTCTGATTTTCTTTTTTCTTCACAGATGCTGCCAGACCTGCTGAGCTTTTCCAGCAACTTTGTTTTTGTTCACATTCCCAATTTGTTATGTACAAGAATTCAAAAGCAGAAAAATGAAATATGAGGAAATATAACATTTCTGACTGCATATATATTAACACATAATGACTTTGATAAGTTTAAGCATATGAGAACTTACGCATGTTAATAAATTAGTTTGAATTTCTGTTTGTTAGATTTTGCAGTGGAGCTCAGGGGGTCACTGTTATTAAATGCTCTAACTACACTAGATTGGTTCAAAATGCACTGAACTTCTTATAGAATCCCTACAATGTGGAAACAGGCCCTTCAGCCCAACAAGTCCACACTGACCCTCAAAGCCTCCTACCCAGACCCAATAGTCTCTTAATAGTTTTCCAATATACGACACCAGGCAAATGAATGTAAACATTGACCAAGTGGATGTGGATGGAATTACTGATTGTCAGATTTTTGCTGTTGAGTTGACAGGGTTATGTAGTTAGGTGTGGTATGTTTAAACTTTTGAAATTGACTAATTTGAACAGTTTAAAGGGACTAGCTCACTGATCTAAAAGCTGAAAATGCTGGAAACACTCAGCAGGTCTTGGCAGCATCTTTGGTGATAGATACAGTCGATATGACTCCTCATGTAGAAATGAGTTGGACATATGAATGTTTCCGCATGGATCCTGGTTACAAGAAATGAGAAAAAGAATCTCCTCTTGTCGATGTCTTGATCCCCTCTAAGCACATAGCGCACAATTAGGGTCGAACGTTACTGCTATCACTCAACATTTAGATTCACACAAGAGCTCTCAGTAGCGCATGGCAGATATCCTAGAGGGAGCCAGGAGATTCTAAACTAAGCACTGAAAATTATAAGACTAAGATGGTAAGGTTGAGTTAGATGATAAGTGGTCAATGCTAAAGTATTCAGCACTGAAATTCCTGAGCCTGGGTCTGGAACTCATAAACATGTTTAAAGCAAGAAAACATAACTTACAACATGACCCAAATTGTTCTTTCTTGAGATGTGGCTGTCAATGGCATGAACTGCATTTGTTACTTATCCCTAATTGCCCTTGAATTGGGTCGCTTGCTGGACCATTTCCAGGAGCAGCTAAGAACCAGCCTCAAAGCCATGCGTCTAGAATCACATTTGGGCCAGATCGCATGACCATAGCAGATTTACTTCCCTAAAGTATATTGGTGAACTGGGCAAGTTTATAATAATGATCAATAATAGTTGTCATGGTCACCATTACTGAAACCAACTTTGTATTCTAAGTTTATTAGCTGAATTCAAATTCCAGCAGCTGCCATGGTAGGATTTGAACCTGTGCCTCAGAGTTTTAGCCCAAGCCTCTGGTTCAGTAATATCACCACAAATGCCACATACCCCCATCAATCTTTCACACATTTATGTTCAGGTACTTGAGAAATTCCCATCAGAAGACATTTCTCAGAGGCCCATCCTTCCATGTTTCTTTCTGAAAGGAGTGGAGGGGAGCTACTTCAATCATATCATCTCATGGTGACCTAAAAATGCCACTAGTTCCCCTTCCTCTGTCTGATACTCCAACGGGGCCTAACATGTGGCCTACACCAACAGGTGGGGCTTGCAATGCTGACCTCTTGAAAGGCAATCGATGGCTAAGCAATCACGACACATTAGGAATCCAACTACTGCCTCGTGAATCTTGATTTTGATTTAATGTCTGACCATCACCAAACAAAATGACTGTCCTCATGAGTGACAGCAATGCTGTGTATCTCTAAAATTCCCAACACTCTATCCTACCCACACCCCCACTATTAAGAAAAAACAAATACCAATCAAGTGCTTTTAGCAGCGTAGTCACATATCACCTTTGGTGAAATTGCCTCATGTCCAAGATTTGGGACAGTTGAGGACAGACTGCATTGTTGGACATCTGGGGAGCAGAGGGACTAAGCCTTGGTTTCCGTCAGTACCTTTTCACCTGAGATAATTCATTGAATTAAAGTCTAAAGACCGTGATGAATTCCAGAAAGCACAGATTGAAGACAGCATCTTCTGTTTTCTAGTGCTCCACAGTAGACCATTGAACAGGAAAGTCCGTGGGCATCTAAGAACAAAGATTGAATCTGGAGAAGGCACCATTCCAATCCGAACCTGCCACTCCATCCAGACATGGGATGGAGTATTACAGGGAGAACATCTACTCACAATGTCCTGCACTGACAAGATTAACAGGTAAAGTGAAAACATTTACATTGTGTGTAAAAATCAAATCTTTTGAGACCAAACGTTTAGTCAAAAGAGGCTTTCACATGCGTAATACTTTTGATGGGTTGAAATCCAAAACAGACCTGTGGAACTGTCAGTATCAACACTGACACTGGTGATTGACCATGGTTCTGATTTCAACCGGAAACAGCTGTCCCAGGCTCTCTGCGAGTATTTCTGGCAATTAAGTGAGAAAATAGAAATTGTACAGAAGATTTGCAAAGTTGTTTCCTCTAATCCAGCTCGCAAAACTGCACAATGTACAAGAAAAATGAACAATTTTGGGGCCAGCAGTTGGGAGTTGACTTATGATTGCATATGCAATATACGAAAATCTAATGATACAGGTTCCAAACGCCAGGGTCAACACTTACAGAAGACTGACTATTGAGTATGTACAGTACACATGGATTGGAAGCTGAAAGCTTCATACAATTGCTAGCACATTGACCTCTCCTGTGATATCTGGTTCATTGCACTAACACATTTCCTCATTTCACCTACACAGCATATAAAACACACAATGGACTTTTAGCAAATGTTTTTCACATAGCCTGGCTGTCAGAAATTTAGCATCTTTTACAATCAAGTGATGGGGCCACAGTTGAATACTGTCAAGGGTGGTATTTGGGGGGCAGCTTTATTCATAAGACTCTGATTGGGAAAATGCTTGATGTATGAACGCACTGTACAGAATGAAATGAGCATATGTCAAACATGGGGCTGAAAATCTTCACCTTTGCCACTTTGATTGTCTATATTAAATGTCCAATCAATGTTGAAGTAATCTAATCTTCATTTTCACCCAAGTGACAAAGGTAAAAATCATCCTCAAAAGTTTCCCAGCATAGACTTGAAAGCAGTATTCCTGAATCATTGCAGAAATTTTGGAATACTGAAGGAGGAGGACAATCATAAATATGACCTCCAAGGATAAGCTGAATGGTCTTCCACATCCAGATGTAATCTTGTGAAATTAAAGAGGGATATCTCACTTCCCATTCTCTCTGATCTCAATATTTCAATCTAACAAGAGAGAATTCAATGGCATTACCATCACAGCATCCCCCACTGCCAGCATACTGGGGGTTGCCATCAGCTAGAAACTGTACTGGACTAGCCATGCAAGTACTGTGGCTGTTGGAGCATGTCAGAGGCTGGGAATACTGCAGTGAGTAACTCACCTCCTGATTCCCCACAGCCTGACACAAGTCAGGACAGCAAATCCAATAACACTCAAGAAATTGGAATTATTCATTTTCCACCTCCATCCCATCACATTGCAGACTATGATACCCCAGACATCATTGGTTTGGTGACAAATGAACCACAATTCCCCTCTCTGCCTCAGATTTAATTGAGTGCTCCATGAATCAACATACTGATTGGCCCTCAAGCCTTCCGTTGGTACTTCCAACTGCCAAAACATCCAAGCCTGCTTTCTGCCAGTTGCTACTTTTAACCCAATAATAACAAAACACAAGAGGGTTGGTTAGGTTATTTGGCTGGATGGCTAGTTCACAATGCAGAGTAATGGCAACAATGTGGGTTCAATTCCCACATTGGCTGAGGTTACCATCAAGGATATTCCTTCCCAACTTCTCCCTTCACCTGAGACATGATGACCATCAGGTTAAGTGACCATCAGTCATCTCTCTCTAATGGAACAGCCGCCCTATGGTCCAGTTGGACTATGGTGACTTCACCTTTGCTTTCCATCCATTTTGGGCAAGCTACCATCATGAGGATATTGATGTATTCCAGGGCTAAACCCGAAGTCTATAAGTGCAGTTTGCCTCATGTAATGCCTCACATGATGCCCAGACCCTGCTTGAGTTTACTGGAAAGGGGACTGTGATTAAAACCAACTCCAAATATTTGAGCATTTGACCAGCAATGATGTGTATCACAGTGACCAGCACAATGTAGATTGCACACTCAGCAGATCTGTGGTCAGCAAGTGGATGAAGATTGGACTAAATGTTCAAGTTTTACATTTTGTGTTCCAATCCTATGTAGGCCATTCATTTTCTTCTAAAATTTACTGCAGTGGTCTATTTAGCAGTGATAGTTCTGCTGCACCAGACCACATCACAGAGCTCTATGGGTGGTTGATTTTAAATTTATTAAAGTGATCTGAAGCTGGCAGGGAGAGGATTTTGGAAGGAATACTGGGGCTTGAGATACTGTGCAACTACTGATTACAGCTTCAACTTCAATTCACATTCAAATCACTAAAATCCAAGAGAAGGGTAGGTTGTACCATTAGCAGAAATATCCTCAGCACAGGGACAGCTGCTTTACAGATAAATTCCCCAGTTTCGTCTGTATTCATTTGTCGATTTAACCCATTGTCTAACCACAAAATAAATGTAATATCCATCACTGTGAACAAAGCAAAAACATTTGGAGCAATAATGGAATAGTGATGTAGCTCAGCTTTGGAGTAGATTGAGAATGTATTGGCTTGATTTTAGTAATCTGCAGTGAAAGAACAGCACTCACACTGACTTTGGAAAAAGTGCCCACAAACATTGATACGTTGGACTTCGGAACAAGGGTGGGCCAATCAGATCTTTAACTCTGTTCCACCATTCCATTAGATCATGTGTAAACTGTCATTCCACTTTTTTCTGTCTCCCCCACCATAACACTTGACCCCCTTGGCTGGCAAAAGTCTATCTAGTTCAGCCTTAAGTTATGACACAGAGATGGACACTGAAACAAATCAGCATTTCCACTTCTGTATTCAAAAACCTGCAAAATTAAAACCTTCAAAGACCCTCAAAATTGATCCCAATAATTCTCAACCAGACTTTTGAAAAACGATTCCCAGACTCTGCAAATAATTAACTCCAGACACTCATTTGAGGTTTAAACAAAAGGCTTAGCAATTTATTACCAACACAGTAACTTTAGTGGAGCAAAAATGAATAACCAGGTAATCTAATTTATGTCTATATCTAAACCCAATAACCTTTATTTTCAGGCCCACACAGACTTCCTCTGAGTGAACTGAGAAGGTGGGCCTGAGTGACATCTTTAGAAAATCACTCAAGAAACAGCAATCGAAACTTGTGGAACAGTGGATAAATGAAAGAAAAGAACAAAACTCACCAGATTACTTAGGGGATTTTCACAACGCATTGTTCCACAAGATAAGATTATTGTTTCTTGGGTGATTTTCTAATGGTGTCAATCAGAGCCACCTTCTCAATTCACTCAGAGGAGGTCAGTAATACTTACAATTTAGTTTATTTTTAAGGATCATCCAAAAGCTGATAGGAGGTTAGACAAGGAGCTTTCAAACCTTCATGCTGTAGCATCAACAGCCGAACTCCTTCTCACAGAAAACACAATCCAAAACCAAAACACTACTGACCATGTCCCCAAGAGGTCCTAGTTACCATTCAACATCTGCTATCTGGACCACAAGACCTCTCCCAGACTTGCTGGAATCAATTCCCAGGACCTTGTTAATGGCTAACATTTTCTATCTGCCTAACCCTGGTGTTGAAGTGCCTATGGATCCTTTTGATCAAGATTTAATTTAAGATCAATTAAATTGCAGGCTTTGTCTAACAAAACAACCACAGCTTGTTTGTTCTAATTTTTTTAAAATTCAACCTGCTGCCCACAGTCCAAATGTTATTTTCAGCTCACAGTTCTCAGTTTACAGCTTGAAATCAAAAGTGATTAAAGATTAAAATAAAAAGAACAAAAAATCAGCAATGGTTCACACACATGAATAGATTCAATCACTCAGCCTCCACTGCTCTTTGGGGAAGAGAATTTCGCACACTAACGAGTTTCTGAAATTTGAAATTTTTCCTCATCTTCATTTTAGAAGGACCTCCTGTTTGCAATCTGTATCACCTAGCTCTATATTCCTCCACAAGAGGAAATATCCTCCTTGCAGCCACCCCACTGAGTCCTCTTACAACGCATGTTTAATTAAAAATCACCTTTTACTATTCCAATCTCCGGTTAGATATAAATCCAAGCTGTTCACACTATTTTCACAAGATAAGCTTATCGTCTCAGGAATGTGTTGAGTGAACCTTCTCTATAGTGGTTTTAATGCAATTATATTCTTTGAGATATATATGAAATAGATAATGTATTCTCATATCCTTAAAATTTAGCAGACTCCAGAGCATTGATGTCCCCCAATCCGATATGACTTTGAACTTAATGCCATCAATGGAGAATCTGTGCCATCCTGTGACAGTCATCAAACAGGTTGATCAGCCAATCCAATTGACGAATTTTCACAGACAGCAAACCACATGGTTAAAAAACCCAAATTACAATTCACAATTTAATCAGACACCACAGGCAACATATGTATTGATATCTATTATATGAACATGATTAAGTTAGAATCACAAATATTATGAACAAACTTTTAAAAAGTTTGTTTTATTCCTGAACCAGTCCCGGAATTGTTAATTGTTATTCTTAAGGAATGAAACTGCACACTTGTAAAATTATTTTTCCATGGATAGCAAGGCTGTTCAGCACTAATTATGACTTAGTGTGCCATTAAAAAAGCCTAGTTCCACCTCATACAACAATGCTTAACATTTTCAAAATTGATTTTCTTGAGAGATGTGCATAAATTAAAGTTCACGTCATATCATTGATTCTGTGTTAATTGCATTTGTCAAGACTACAGTGGTGCACCCTGTGAAGAAACAAGGTATCATTTACAGCATCTTCCTGTTGTGAAAATGTAGTTCATGGCACATGTGTTTTAGAATATATCTTTTAGTTTTAGGAATTAACATTTTCATTCTAGAAAATTGGTTTACAAGAAAAACTGATAATGACAGCCCTGGAGTAACTGCAATTAAAGCAAGTTTGGAGTATATTCACCTTAATGGTTGGGACCATGATGACCTAAGAGTTATCCAGTTAGTCCCATTCTCCTCTTTCCCCATATTTTTGGAGATATTTCCCCTTTT